CGGGGGGGCGGGCCGGGTTAAGGTAAGGGGTAGGAGGGGGCTCGGCGGTGCCCCGGCACGGCTCGGCACGGCTCAGCCCTCAGCTCCGCCCCACAGCCGGGACCGCCCCCAGCTACGGGGGGGCACCTCCACGCCCCCCCCCCATAGGCTGCAGGTGGCCGTCAGGCAGCTTATAGAGATGGGGGGGGCAGCGCTTTTCACCCGTCTTTTTCTCCATTCCCCCTTCCTCCCCATTCTCCCTCCGCAGATCTCTGAGGGTGGGGGGGGGTAAAGGAGAGGATATTTCCCCCAGCGCAGCACAGAGCTTTCCCCCCTCCCTCCCCCAGCTGAATGAAGAGAGAGATTGGGGGCCCTTTTAACCATCTTTATGTTTGCTTTGTTTTTATTTATTTATTTATTATTTATTAATGTTGAATTTTTAAGGGTGCCCCCCAAATACAACCCCCCTCCCTTTTTGCTCCCCTTCCCCCCCTCTCCCCCCACCGAGTGCCGCGCATGCGCGCTGGGGTTGGCGGGGAGGGAGGGAGACAAGATGGCGGCGCCCGGCGGAGGGAGCGTGGAGGATGAGGAGGCTGAGCCCGTGTTGGGGCGGTTGGAGGAAGAAGCGCGGCGGAGGCAGGAGAGGCTGCGAGCCTTGCGGCAGAGAGCTATGCAGGTGGGAGATGGAGGGACGGGGGAGCGGCTGGGCTCGGGTTACGGCTCGTAGAGGTGGCCCTGGCTGCGGCCTGTAACCAGGGAGGGTGGGGGGAGAAAGGATCTGTCCTGGGGGGCGGTGGGCTCGTATTGTGCCAGGGGAGGCTCAGGTTGGATATTAGGAATAACTTTTTTTTCCTGAAGAGTGGTGATGCTGTGGCACAAGGCTGTCTGGGGAGGCTGTGGGTGCCCCATCCCTGGAGGTGTTCGAGGGTAGGTTGATGGGGCCCTGGTCTGGTATTAAATGTGGAGGTTGGTAGTCCTGCGTGTGGCAGAGGGTTGGAACTTAATGATCCATAAGGTCCTTTCCATCCCAAGCCATTCTATCACAAAATCACAGAATGGCCAGAGTTGGAAGGGACTTCAAGGATCACGAATCTCCAACCCCCCTGCCACATGCGGGGCCACCAAGCTCCACATTTAATACCAGATCAGGCTGCCCAGGGCCCCATCCAACCTGGGCTTGGGCACCTTCAGGGATGGGGTATCCACAACTTCTCTGGACAGCCTGTTTCAGCACCTCACCACTCTCACACTTCCCCCTGACAGCCAACCTAAATCTTCCTTCTCTCAACTTAAAACAATTTCCCTTGTCCTGCTGTTATCTGCCCTTTCAAAGAGTTGATTCCCCTCCTGTTTGTAGGCTCCCTTTAGCTATTGAAAGGCTGCCATGAGGTCACCCCGCAGCCTTCTTTTCTTCAAGCTGAGCAAGCCCAGCTCCCTCAGCCTGTCTTCACAAGGGAGATGCTCCAGTCCCCTGGTCATCTTTGTGGCCTCTTCTGGACCCTCTCAAACAGCTCCCTGTCTTTTTTTGTACTGGGGGCTCCACACTTGGATGCAGTATTCTAGATAGGTCCTCACAACAGTAGAGCAGAGTAGAGGGGGACAATCACCTCCCTGTCCCTGCTGGCCACCCCTCTTTTGATGGAGCCCAAAGAAGCCCATTCTGTGATGCTGTGGTTCTATGATTAGCCACTTGTTCGTTGGTAATGGCAGGAAGACCACCAAGTGGTGAAGATACAATAAGGAGGAATGTAAATAAGCTGTTTTGCTGAAGTCTGAGTGAAGCCTGTGTACACCCTACTCCAGGGAAGGTAAACCTCACAAGTGTCAATGCTTTTACAAACCTCATAACAGGGAGTCAATTCTGTGATTAACAAGGCTTGCAGAGCTTCTCCCAGGACTCTACCACTGAGCATGGTAGATAAAGCAAGAGGTGATGGCTTCAAGTTATGCCACAGGAGGTTCAGGTTGTGTATGAGGAAAAGTTTCTCTGGAGGAGTGGTGAGGTAATGGAACAAGCTGCCCAGGGAGGTGGTGAAAAGTTGCTGTCCCTGGCAGTGTTCAGGAGATGTCTGGATGAGGAGATACGGTTCAGTTTGTGGTAGCAATGGTAATGGGAGGGCGGTTGGACTAGATGATCTTGCGGGTCGTTTCCAACCTTGTGATTGTATGATTCTAGTTGTGGAGTCACTGTCCCTGGTGGTGGATATGTGGTGCTTGGGGAGATTGTTTAGTGACCATAATAATGATTGGTTGACAGTTGGACTAGATAATCTTACTGGTCTTTTCCAGCCTTAATGATTCTGTGATTCTGTAAATAGGAGAGGGAGAAATGGAGACCTGGGAGAGCTCCATCAGCAGTGGAGGAACAAAGAGGGAGGAAGGGTGGGTCAGGCACTGGAACAGGCTTCCCAGTGAAGTGGTGGAGTTGCTGTCACTGGAGGTGGTCAAGAACTGTTGGAAACGTGGCACTGGAGTACATGGCTTGGTGGGGTGGTGGGGATGTGTTGATGATTGGACTTTGATGAACTTAAGGGTCTTTTCCAGTGTTAATGATTCTTTGATTCTGTGTGCCACTGAGAGCAGGAAGCCATGACACCCTGGGGACAGATGGACATGGAGCAGAAGGAAAGAGATGAGGAGAGGGATGATGGCAAATGCTGAGGCAAGGAGGAGGGTTTGGTGTCTAGGAAGAAAAGATGTATTAGCCACTTGTTCATTGGGGTGGCAACAGCAAGAAGAAGACACAAGTGGTGAAGATACAGCGGCTCCTTGTGAAGAGAGCTGTTCATAGAAGGCTTTGTGTTCCATTGTGTGGGAAAGCTTTTGGGTCTGTGGTTTGAGGGTTCAAGTTGTGGGGTGCAGAGGATGGGTAAGCAAGGAGGCTGTGTCGTGTTTAGGGGAAAATGATGGTGTTTGGTGCAGGCGGTTTGTTAGGGTGCTTGGAGTGTAGCTGGAAGTGGTAGTGGGACTGAGGCTGTGTGAGGTGGCCAGGCAGCTTTTAGGAGCGTGGGGGGTAAGGAGGAGAGCAGGGTGAAGGGATGACTGTGGGGAAGGAGTAGTGAGGGAGCTTGGGATAGGAGGGGAAAAGTGGAGATTACAGAGAATGGGTTAAGAGGGCATCCTCACCGTGAGGAAGGGGTTCTGGAGTGAAAGGGTTTGATAAAAGGGGATGCAAGCAGCGGGGGAGGGGGTGGGATTTGGGGTTCACTGCAGATCAGTGAGGAGCACCAGGGCTTTCTGAGGGGAAAAGATGGTGTGGAGCAACACGGTGCTCTGGAGTGAAGCCTTTTGTCCCTGGATGCAGGGATGGGAGGGGCAGAGAAGCAGGCGTGGTGGGGATGCTTGTGCCATGTTTTTCTTGGTGACCTACCTCTTGTGTGACCAAACCCTCTTGCCGAGCCCCAGTGGTGTCTCTGGGTCTCTGTCCTGTGTGATGTTTGTTCTTGTTACTTCAAAATAGAGATTTTTACTGCAAATGAAAGAAGAATGCAGCAAATGGGAGAAACTTGGCAGCCAGTGCCTCAGCGGTGATACCAAGCAAGGCTGCAGTGATTCAGTGTGTCTCTGCAAGCCCTTGTGTTGCTTATTTCTTTTCTCTCAGGCTAATAAGGTGTGAGCTCTGCTCCCCTTCTGCCACATCATCCTCATTTTGTTGATGAGGGTTAGTCCAGTAATGTGGGAGGGTGTCTATTTCCTTTGGGGTTTGATAGCTCCAATAGAAGCTGTGTGGACAGGCCAGGGGCAAAGTGGGATGCTGCCCTTCTTAGCCTCACTGGGAAGAAAAGCTACTGAAACGAAAGGCTCCTTCCTTTCTTCTGGCAAGTTTAGAGGGAGCAGAGCTTCCTGAGAAATGTATCCTGGTAAATAAGCCCACATTAGGTCATCATGAGTGTGAGCTAAACGGTGACTTCTTGATTTTGCTGACAGGGATCAGCTGGTGGCTGAGAGCCTTCTGAATTATTTCAGAAGAGTCTAAAACAGGTGGCTGCTGCTGCAGCAGGACCAGGGGAGGCAGGATCCACAGGGTGAGCTCCTAACTGCCAGAAGCAGCCTGCATGCAGCAGAGAGGAGCGAGTTCCTACAGAGGGAAGGTAGATACTTCCTTAGTCACACCGAAGATGTGTTGTGTTTAGTGGTTCTTGGTTGATTTGTCCTGCTGAGTTTATCCAAGCCCTTTAAGTCTCTGCTTACACTTGGCTTTTGCAGCATCCCAAGGCAGAGTTCTGAAGTTCAATTAAAAAAAAAAACCCAACTACACCTGTTAAACCTATTAGATGAGAGTTTTCAGAACTCTCATCTAAAAAGGAGCTGGGATGCTCCTTTGCAGATCTAATGAGAAACATGAAATAGCTGTTCTGTCTTCATGATCTTATAGCACTGTTCATCTCATCCAGATTCAAATTGGGGTCTGTGGGGTCTGTCTTCATACACAGATATCTCTGAACTGTCTTTATGATATTCCTGTGTATCTTCTTGACTTCAGAGATGCCCCTTTGCTGAGAGGGGCTCTGGGACTGTGTGTGGTGCTCAGGATGTGGGGGCTGTGTTGGTTTGCAGTGCTGGCACACCACTTCCTAGTTTTATTTATCAGGGCATGCCTACTTTTCTTTCCCAGTTCCACCAGCCTCTGTGTAAAAGATCCCACCTCTCCTCACTGCATTCCTTACTCCCCAGACTGTTTGGCTGCACACATATGAGTGCTCAGTGCCATCCTGATGTGATTTTTCTGGTTGCTGCTCAGCACTGAGCTGACGTTTGCATGGGTCCCCCCTCAGCTGTCCCAGCACCTCCCAAACAGCAAGGCTCATTGGGGGACCCATTCCTTGTGTAAGTGCTGCCAGAATGATATATTTTTTTTTTACCCCCTGTGCATTGCTGTACATCAGGCTCTGAATTTCACTTGTTGCCTTATTGCTCAGTGATGCGTCCTTGCAAAACCCTTCTGCAAGACTTGAGTTGCTGCTGGATTTCACTGTGAATCATCTTGCCTGCAAGTGCTGTCCTCAAACCACCCGTGCCTTTCCCATGCCTTCTGCAGCCCCCAAACCCTGAAAGGGGAGAAGATGGGAACTGCTGCTGTTCTCCTGCCATGACGGTGCAGTGCTTGGGCTCTCAGGAGGGCAGGTGCTGCAATTCACACATTGCTTGAGGTCAAACAAGGAACCTCTTCCTGTTCTGCTCTGTAAATTACTCGGTGCACTCAGTTTTGGCTTGAAGGTGATGCTCATCTTTTCCCAATTAGTGAGGAAATGAATGAGGTAATGACCAAGCGTATCAAAGCCTGATGCATCCTCTTGTGCGCTGTGTTTTTATTTATTGCCAGGAAATGTTCTTTTTACTCCATAAAAATTGGGATTCTTTGGGTTCTGGGCATAATTTCCACGTGAGGCTCGTGTCAGTTGATGTTTGCTTACATAAATGTGATTAAAATAGCACACAAGGTGATGCTGAAGTTCCAGACTAAATGCACAGCCTTGGCAACAGCAAAGTTTGCAGTTGCAAGGTAATACACAGAATCAGGTACAGCATCAGAGAGGTCATTTCCTTCCTAAATTTAAATTGAATTGGCTTTCAGTCGCACGTAATCACATTGTGGCTCTGACTTGTTGGCATACAGAATATTACTTCCTGTTCTGGCAAAGAAATATCGTTTCAAATTGAGTGAAGTCTTTACTT